TTCATAGTACTTAATTTCAGCTACACAAGTCTGTTTCTGTGAAACACTATTCTAGGTTGATCTCTAAATGTGTCTTGCCTTGTCTTCCAGGTAACATAGGCTTCCATACCAAACTGCAAACTTAGAATATCCCCATAGAGGCAGCGTTACTAGTTCAAACATGCTCTACCAAAGACAGACAGGAAGAACTGACCTGTCAACAAAAATTCTTTTCAATAAAAAAATCTGTAAAATTTCTACGCATATGCATTATTACAATACGAGAACCACAACAGCACTCTGAAGCTGAGAAAACTAAGATGTTCTCCCAAATTCATGAAATCTGATTTCGGCTGCCTCAGAAATGAGACGGAGTTCTTCAAAAGAGCATCCAGAAAGGCAACATCTCCTCAAGCAGTCCTGGGAAAGTGACCAAAAAGCAAAGGCCTCCAGTCATGCAGATTCTTCCACTACACTAAAACAAAACATTTGTTTTCTAGATGTAGAACTGATTTCCCACTTTAGCATAGAAGAGCTGGCATTAGGAAGTGCAGTTGTCTTTCTCACCCACATTCATTCTCATTTGGCCTATTCAGGTTTCAGAAGAGCGGCTCCAGAAACATGGCTCAGTTTGCCATATTAACGTAAGTGTTGACTTTTAAGCAACAGCTATCACCATCTCTTGCATTCCTAAGCAGCTGCTGAACATACCCATCTTGGGGTAGCAGATAGCTTCGGCTTCTAATGCTTAAACCAAAGGAAGGACACGCATAGCTTGTCATAGACATGAGGGCTAAAAAGCAGTTTGATAACTAAGGCTTCATGCTTTCCTACCTTCTTCCTCTATTTTTAATACATTTGCAGCTTAGTTTTCATAATTATGTAAGATTAGACTAAGTAAATGTTATCTGATGCTTTTAAATAAGTAAGCATATAAGATCCTGAATTAAATGATTATTCAGAGCAGGTGATAAGAATTCAGTTGATGCTCTGCAGAGACCATGGTCACCCATCTACTGCAGAACTACAAGTAGCTATCTAGTAGTTTTGTACCACATACTTAACATACCTGCACCTTGGCAAATGCATCTGAATCAAGTTAAAAGCTTTTAAGATTTTGCTTAGACCCCAAAAATATTTGGGCAAAATGACTATTTCAGATAAATTATTTGGTTTGCAAATGAAGATAAGTGACAATTCATCCCCCTCTTCTCAGATGCTACTTTGTTGGTGAGGTTCTCCACATGGAGACTAGTGGACAGCATATTTTAAAATCTTGATTAGTATCATGGTTAATTTCTCTACCTTCAATAAAACAGAGCAGCAATCAAATAGTTACAATTTCTGCCGAGAAGACTGTCAGTGTTTTTCCATTAGCTGAGCAAGTATTTTCCACTTCAGCTACAAAAGGTGCCCCAGCAGCAAGTTGGTCCTGTACACTGCATGCTCCGAGATGACCAGGGAAAGAAGTGGGTCTCTCTTTTCTGCACTTCAGCTCTCTGCCCTACCTCCTTCACAACCGAATCTTTATAAAAGAAGGAATAAGGGACATAAACTTTACATAGACAACACATTGCAAAGAACTATAACTGTTGGTTGAAATAATTAAAATATTGTTCAAATGAGTTGCTCTTCATGGAAAAAGGCTAAGCATTACTGAAACTGCTAATAGAGCCCTTAATAAACAAAGCTTCAGATCGCTCATATGAAACGGAAGAGTGAACTCCAGGAAGCCTCCCTTTCCTCCAGCAGGTTTTCCAGAGATGGAAGTCCTCAAGGTCAACTGGATTGAACCCTGAAGTGTGTAGACAGCTTCAAGGAACTGTGGTACTCCTAAAATGCAGTCTTAACCCCACTCCAACAGTGGTAATGGGAGATAACTTGGTTCAAGTCCACAGGATGCTTCTAGCAATTATTTAGGGTAAGATGTTCATCTCCTCCGTTGATTTCACAGCATTTCATGCTGCACTGGTGATCCAGGGCATAGCAAGCCTCAGGAATTTGACACTACCTGCCTATACAAACAGATGGGTTAGCATTTCTTGTTTTCTTCAGAGAAAGCTTAATTGCTGAGCTAAATTCCCTAATTTTCCACTGATGCTTCTTCTGAATTCTTTGTTTTTTTCATTCACTCATGCAGATAACACCAAATTTCCTAGAGCTTCTGGAGTTGTCTTATCTGCTTGGTAAACAGCTCTTCGTTCTGAGATGTTTTACACAAAGTTTCACTTCCTGAAGAAAGAGAATGTGGCCAGACAATGCATCCACTAGTGATGTAAACCCACCTGAATTAGATAGTCAAAAGGTAGATCAATACTTTATTGCTTCAAGTCTCACTCTGTGGTTTAGTACATACAAATATGTATTTCAATTTCTATGCTCCCTCTAGCTTTTCACTGATTAAAGGTATTCGCTAAGTATCTAGGACTCATGACAGTTCACTTAAGATGAAGTTAAGATTAAGTTTCTTAATTCTGGTGTTAAAACAGCGAAAGTAATCCCGAAATTCAGGCCAAATCTGGTAACAATTTCATGTTCCAGATTGTAGAAAGAAAAGAAAAACTTGCTTCCCAAGCACTCTCTGTAAGACCTGAGGATGAATGAGAAGAGCAGGACTAAACCTAGAGCTCTTTCTTCCCAGCATCCACTAAGACAAGGTAACCTTACTTCAGGCTTCTCAAATTAGAAGAATTGCTCCCAAGGCAGTTATGAGGTCAGATACTATATTTTTGAGTCTCATACATAATGAAACCTTTTGGAACAAGACTAGTGCAGTATGTTTGCTAGCAGCTCTGAAAGCTCAGGAGCTGCTGTTTGATAAAGAGGAAACACCACTTCTCTCCAATAGTTCTCTCCTACAAAGAGAGTAATTTAACTTAAGGATCCCTCTTAGGCATCACTTTATACTTCACAGAAAACATTATACCTTCAAACAAGAGGTTTGACATTACATTCTGCTCCATTCTCTACTCCCAGAGAAGGAGCTTTTTGACACTGAGAAGCAAATGGCTTCCAAATATCAAAAATATCATGTAAGGATGTGAGCAATTTGAACATCTATCATTAAGGCCCTGAGGCTCATCTCTGTGCCTCCAGCAATCTTTAATGGAGAAAAGTATCTCATAGTTTAGGAACTTTAATAAGGAATGCTAAACATGCAGACTCAGATCTGCAAGATAAAGGGCAAACACCATGAACTGCCATCCCACAAACTGATGGGATGCCCACTGATGAAGTTCCAGTTACAACTCTGCTTCTGGAACAAAAGGACAGGAAACAATTAAGGAAAAAAAACCTTTTGTTTTGAAGCACTAAGGTCATTACTTAGAGAAGACAGGCCCATTTTTCTTGTATGAAGAAGCTTTTAGCTGAAAACAACATGTGGCATCTACTCAGCCTAGTTTGTCTGACATCCCCAAGCACGTTCAAGAACAATAGGGGAAAAAAAGCAACCTCAAAAAGAAAATTACATCTGAATAATATCTAAGTGTAAAATCAATATTTTGACTAAGTGTGTATTAGCAGTAAATGGATACGAATCCTGGCAATTAAAGCATTTTGTGGTATTCAAATAGCTACAAGTTGAGGCAAAAGTTTGTCCCACTATTCAGCAGACTGGATGGTCAATTTAGAAGGATAACAGCTGCATAACTTATCCTGCTCTGCTGACTCTAGGCAGATGCACACATAGCTGAACAGAACAATGGGAAATAGTCCACATACTAGCTTTTTCCTGCCATAGTCCTACTTAGATATCACCCTTCCAAAGACACAGCAGTGATAGCACCAATGCAGACAGAGCTGACAGAACTTCATACTGCCACCCTAGAAGAACAAGTACGTACTCGGGACAAGAGAAGAAAGCAGATGCTGCAAGCTATGCAGAAGAGGTTGAAGCCACATATAGTATGTATAAACTAGAGCTTTTATCTTCCTGCTCAGTGTTGTTGCTCTGGGAACACTGAATCACAATGAAAAGATTTTATTTAATATGTGGAAAATACTTATATTCTGCCACTACCTTTCCGTACTACAGAAGTCTCCGCTTCCATCCCTTAGATCAGAACATGAAGAACATACAGATAGCCTTAAAGGACAGTTTTAAACACAGAAGCTAACCAGCACATTCAGGAGCTGCAACCAAGAACATAAGTTATATTCTTCAAGGCTGGAAATTTGAAGATTGTGCACCAAGCCAGGATATTAAGTGCCAAAGTCAATGTTTCTATGTACAGCTAATATGCAATGTCAACATAACCGTATGTCATCGTATATCGGCTCTTTCAATAGAACAGAGCTTAAAGAGTTGAAAACTGGAAATGAGATAAAGTGAACTTTACCATTCACTCTTTCATTCTTTCTAAGTATAGGCATCCATCTGATAATTCTTGCAAATTTAAAACAACTGGTCTAAATGCATGTGCGACCTGTGCAACGGCTGTTAGAATAAAGTGCTAATACAAGACAGGACGTACTGTTTCTCACTCTGCAGTTCATACCTGCATTCTCAAGACAGCACACATTGCTTAAGTGGGTATGCTAAAGGAAACTGCCATGAATGCTGCAGTGCAAAAGCTGTTCCACCCAGAACACTAAATAAGGCCCACCCTTTTCCCCAAAGTACAATTTTAATTCCCATCCTCCAGAAAGTTTGTTAGCCTCAGCTGACACAACTAAGTCATAGTTCCAACACAGTAAATAAAAACTCAGGTAAGTCTTGTGTAATTATCTGCTTTTCCACATCTAAATCTTCTTCCCAAGGACTTTCAGCCCAGAGGCTCTGTTAGCATTTATAGTGCTCATATGCAAACCTGGATGAAATGCAAATATAAACACTTCATTTTTTTCCTGTATAATCAAGACCGTGGTACAGCTCAATTCCTTCAGCCTAGCAACATCTGCATTTTTTCCTGCTGTTGCTCCATGATTTAGAAAACTGTAAAACACCAACTGAAAGCTCTGTACTGGAGAGGGAAGATATGTCGATGCAAATAAATAAATAAATCGCAGCACAAGCATACCTGTTATTTTGTCTCTGACAAGCTTGCAGGATTCTATCTCACCAATGCTGCCAAACAGACTCTTCAGCTCCTCCTGTGTCATGTTCTGCGGAAGGTAGTTGACTATTAAATTGGTCTTGCTGTCCTCTGTGTTCCCCGAATCAACTGGCGATGAGCAATTGTTTATGGCATTTGAACCATTGGCTGTGTTATTGCATGTTGGTCCATTAGACAGTTGTGTTTCCATGGCAGCAATTACCTGCTAAAAACATAGAAAATGAGAACTGTCAAAATGCATATTTCACAATCTATGAGGGAGAGTCCAGGCAAAAATCTAAAGACCTGTCACTATACAGAAGTGGTATTGCCAGGCTTGTATAATACCTCTCTATGCAAAAAAAAAAAATAAAAAGTTAGTCAAGGCCGGTATTTTAAAAACATATAGGCAAACCAATAGCCAAAATTTATTTCTGCCCTCCTCCCCAACCCCTGCATTTAGGGGCATCACAGCCTTTCTGGTATAGAAGTTACCAAGCAGAATGCGCCACCTGCAAGGCTAACCAGTACTGTTAATTTAGATTCATGTCACTTCCGTTCTCCATTGTGTTTTTTAAAATTACAGTATTTGGTTTTATGGTTATTTTTCAAAAAAACAGCAGGGTGTGTTAACCATGTCCTAAGCTTAGTAAGCACTGGAACACAGCAAGATTAATAATTTATTTGGAAAGAGATGCTCAGAGAGCTAAATGAATGTGCTGGGATGGAAAACACTCTTCCTCAATAACTCTTAGGTCAATCTGCTGTCTCCAGTGGTTGGAAATAGGTTTTTTAAATGCATTTCATATTTGATTACTCTGAAACTTACTGGTTTCCACTTCTTCTTCTTCCCTTCCACAAAAACCCAAAACATTTAAAGTTGATATGCTATTGATGTGCAATGGTAAATCAACAGTGAGTGAGCAATCACCACTCCAAAAATTTTTGTTTCACCCCCAAGTAACTGACTGAACGACTGGCAGATATAGCAGCAGTCCTTTAGAAAAATGCCCAGGAGTTGCCAGATGTAGGAAAGGCACTCTAGCGTCTCAGTTACTCACTAAATGGTAGTGGCTTGGCAAATACAGTAGCTCTTTAATGGTAGCCAAATATCCAAGACTTGGATAGCCTACCCTGTTAGAGACCAGCAACACAGGACAACTCATAAAAGAAAAAAAATCTGTAGATTTGTTATCCGTTAACAGACATTTCAAAACAGAAGACTGATCAAGACAGTTTCATAAAAAATTCAGTGACCATTGAAACCCAACTTCATACTGAGATTCTAGAGGGATTTTTCTCACATGAAAAAGCCTATCACAAAATCATAGAACAATTTAGGCTGGAAGTGACCTCTGGACTTCATCCAACTCTCCTGTTCAAAGAGACATATCCAATCAACGCATAACCAAACAGCTAAGTCAACTGTACTCAGTGACTGCAAATCTGAATTTTAGTAAGTCTCCTAAAAACATTAGAGGAGGTTAGGTCGAGTTGTCTTAAACTGTAAATCAGACATTCCTGGAAAGACATTTATGTTTTGCATACAGAAGTATTCTCCAAGAAGTTACTTCAGTACAAAAGCAAAAAGGAAGATGCCTATTAGGAGCTTTTAATATAAAAATGCGATCCAGTTCTCCTGAGGAGCTACCACTGGAATAGCTACGGTCTTCCTGTGCAACACACTCCCAGGGGTAACCTGCTCCTGGCACTGTCATGAAACAAGTCTGCTGAAAAGCTGAGAAAGTAGCTGAGGCCAATTGAGATAAATTACTTTTCAAAATGCTCGTTTCCCTGGCAGAGCTGGTAGCCCCAAATGCTGTGCTCTGACTGAAGTTCTCTAGGACTCCATTTAAAAAAAAACAAAAAAAATTAAAGCATTCACTGATGAAAATTAGCAAGATTTAGCAAGGACAACAAACAATCCTCACTTAATTGCACAAGTATTTTGATGTTCAGGTGGCAAGAATGAAATCCTAAGCCAGCATTCAAGTGAACAGCTGCAGTAGCCTGTGTGTGCTGAAATTACAGCATTTCTCAGCCACAAGGCCATCTGGTCTGAACAAACTGATACTAATACGCTTTACAAATAATGCATATTCCACAGATAGGTTGAATACAACTGTTCACAAAACACAAACCACATCTTCGGCAGTTATTGCATATTTTTCATCCAGAAATAGTTTAAGAGATAAATTTACAATTTTCAAACAATTTTTTAGAATAAGTATTGTAAACACACTTTTAAAATAGTAATCAAAAATACACAGTATACAGGTTTTTAATGCAACTGCAAATTAGTATTCAGACCATACCAAAACCATTTTAGTACAATACTACTCTTCAGTTATCCACTGGATATTTTGAATAAGCGCTAGATCTAATTGACATTAGAAGAGAGGCAAACCACTGCAGTTCAATTTTTACAGGAGATCACCATATTAAGGAAAAAGTTGTCATGGTACACTAGTGCGCTCTAGGCCCTGACAGAATAGGGACACAACCTACAACCTATAATGAACAGAGTTGAAGTGCCAAATGAAAAATTAAGGAGTTTGGTATGGCCTCAGCACTATTAACACGTAAAAAAGTAGCCTACAGAATTTAAGAAAAATCCCACAGACCCCAGTCCAAGGCTCTGCTGCCCACGAACCACTTCTAAGCAGAGAAGCCACATCACACAGTCTGACTGCCATGTTAGTTTGGAGTTGCCGTCTGCAATATGGACACAAAAAGTACCATATGTTAGATTAGCAAGAGAATGCAACAAATCAGTTTGTACAAATTTACAGTAATTGTATTTATATTCCCAGCACGTCCATGCAGTGTGGCTTAATTGGGTTTTAGGCAATTCCAATCTAATCTGTCCAAATTCCGTTCCAAAGTTACTTTTCTTACGTCATTTGAGATGCTTATTAAAAAGACGATTTAGAAGACAGTGCAATCTAGTTACCCCAGAATCTAGCCTGGAAACTACCTCAAGAACCGCACCGTACCTAAAAAGAACCACACCACAGCATCCTTTTTTTTTTTTTTAAATCTGCAAGACAGAAGGAAGAAAAAAGCAAGAAAATGTAATGAGCAGGCTTTCTGTTAGCATGTAAGATGTTCATGCACTGTTGAAAAATAACTCCCCTTACCTGCCTTCTCCAGCACACAAAAATACAGAACACAAGACAAACCACTTTGCTAGAATCTGGACTGTTCTTTAAATCCTATACCACTACCTTTTAAAAATAAATTAAGATCTTCCACAGACTTGCATTCAGTATATTTGCTTGCAGTGGTTCTGCTGAAGTATATTAGTAGACGTACAAATGGCACTGAAATAACCAGTCCAATAAATAGGAATACAAGAAGTAGTTCCTCATAAGGCTATTTTTGTCCTCAAACTGCTTCCCCCCCCCTTCTTTAAATAAACCGTAACCGCAAACCCAGTGGGATTCGAGATGAACAGTGCTAGGAGGATACCAGTAAAGCTAATGGGCCATTTGCAGCTGATTGCAAACAGTTCAGATGTTAAATATAGCCACAATACTGGCAGGAATAGGAAAGACACCTGACGCTGTTGCCACAGCTCCAGACTGATGTAAATCCAAGCTAGCCTTCTTGCCCTGTAAGTCTCGTTAGCAGATGAGAAAAATCTGAGCAGTGGATTAAACCTGATCAAAAAAGAGAGAGATTCGGCTTTTGGAAGACTGCTTCACACAGGATTTCAAACACACATGTATTTCGCAGAAGCTTTTTCTATTTTAAAACAGCATAGATTTGTTCTGATTATTTCAATTTTCTACCAAAGTCAGTATGGTTAACTGACTTGATGCCTAGCCTTTATTTTTAACCGAAGTTGATAAAGACCTTTTACCTTTTTCCACACAAAATACTCGAGGCTTTGACATCAGCTGCAAGCTTGCAAAAGCATTCTCTCTGGTCTCAGCCCCAAAACAAGGCCAAAGACTAAATTTCTGAAGGACTCACAGGCAATTGTTCACAGAATTGCTTATCACATCAAGGAGAAAACAGAAAAACTCATTGCACTTGTGCTAAGGCCAGACAAGTTTTATGAAGCAAATGTCAATAAAACAGTCGTCTACAAGTTTCTCAGATATTGCAGTGATGTCCATGAAAGATTATGTATTTAGACTCCTGCAGCTCACAGGAAAATAGCATGATGATTGTTTTCTCTGAGCCATGAGCTGAGGATGGAGAACTCCTAGAGAAGGACATAACTGTATGCAGCAGATGTCAGTGCATTACACCAGTAGACTTCACTATGTTCTCAGAGCAGCTCAGAAAAGAGAAAAGATCTCTCATTTAAAGTACTTAAAATTTACACAATACTGAAGTGTTTAGTAAGATACTTGCATCAGTGTACAACTGGTCAGTCCCTTACTATACCACTATGGTGTCAAAATCAAGTTTTGACTTTCTTTAAAAACAATTTTTATTCCTTCCAATCTTACACAGAAGATTTCACACCTAATTTGGAAAATACTGTTCTTACCCTTATATTTTTTTCAAGTGCAGCAGAAGGGTAAATAAAAGGAATATAGCTATATATTGCAAAATGAGGAAATTGATTTTAAAAAGTCACATTTCTAACACAGACAAGCCTATAATTATTTTAAGATTACCATATGTAGCATGTTAATTTAAAGTGTAAGCTGTGAACAGTCTCCAAAAGTTTTTTTTTTTTTTTTTTAAATACTGAACTAGTGAAGAATTACTGGTACTGTAAAGGAGAGCTAAAAAAGCTTTGACCATATTATCTTCTGTGGAGATAATATTACATTTCAATTTATTACACTAGTTCAGCAATTACTGCATTCAAAAACTGAGAAGTCAGTTAAGTTTAGGAACCTGGACTCACTGTATCTATTAAAGGAATTAAAGAATGCATTTAAAATACATTCAGATTAAGAGGAAAATAAGTAAATTTAGAAAAGGATTTGCTAGTTTCTTCATAGTCCTGAAAGCAGGCATAACTGAAAACAAATGTCTTCAGTTCAAATACAGTGATTATTTCTATTTATTAATGAGTACTCCATTGGAGCTATTTTTAAATAAATGTATTTTAATTCATCAACCACAGTTAAGATTTTACATTCAGATACCTTTAAAACACTGTCTGTGGCATTTTCTAATTAGCTGCTGACCAAGCAAGTCATTAGTAAGGTATTCAAAAAAAAAAAGAGTGCTTTAGAAAATAAAGTTGAGCTAGCAAGACGAAAGAGAGGTAACAGTCACTGATAAGAGTCAATTGCATTGGTCTACTATCTCTTTTTGCCAGGAAAAAAAAAAGTCAGTATGTAACGTAATCAAGTATTCATGCATAGTGAAAAATAGTAACTGAGTCTAGATCCTGGCAGTCTTAAGTCAAAGACTGAAGCAAGATGCACTGAAAAAACGGGCAAGACTTGTTCAAACACCATTAACATCCCACATGCGTAAGCCAGCGAAGCCTTCATCCAAGTGCATCACAGTTGCAGCCAGGGCCTCCCCACCATCTGTTTGGCATTGCTGTTTTGACATCTTCACATCCACCTCTCTGCATCCCTGTCATTTTGACCTAAAATGATTTCATACAAGTATATTCCAGATGTAAAAATCTGTATTTATAGATAGCACATCAAAATCGCTACACAGATGCATGGTCCGATTAAGCTGTATGCTTCTGGATGATATTACTATATAAATATGAAAACATAAAAATCAGCACCCTGAAGTTAACCAGATATCAGATATTGGAGGCATCTCCCTCTAACAGGCTACCTTTTTTCAAAGGCAACCAAAGCTGCACTATCATGTAACACCAGCATGAAGAATGCACACAGCTGATCAGATGTTTTCCATGTGGTCCTAAAAAACCCTAAACACCCTTCTGAAGATCATCCAGAGAAGGCACATATCATCCGGACATACCAGGACACTTCCAGAACATGCTGCAGGGACCATTATTTCCCTCCTTGTCTTCTGGGTACAGAGAGTGGAACTGAAGTGCAAGCCAATTATCATATGCTGCTAATTTAGACAAGCTGATGCTACTGGATTTTGTTTTCATAATTCTGTTTTTTTTTTTTTTTGGGTGCCTGTAAGGAATATTTCTAAACCTTAACTAAAAATGAAAGAAAACAACCATCACTGTTTGACCACTCAGTGAAAGAACGGAGCCCAGACTAAAAAAAGAGTACTCAGCACTAGAGTTGGTCAAATTGCCACACACTTGCTAGAAGTCCAATTCACTGTAAAAAGAGAACTTTTTTTTTGTGGGGGGGAGGGAGAGAAAAACCACACACAACTCAATAATATTTTTAATAGTATCTTCAGAAAGAAAGAGTTCAAACTAATATTGTAGTAAAGATAAAAATCAGTAAAGAGGAAAGATGGTAAGTTCTAATTATCTTTAAGAAGGGGGTTAGTCCAGCATCCTTTATGAGGCTGCAAGAGCACAGCACCCATCGACGCATGGTTACTCTGAGGCCCGTCAGAGGTGAGCAGCTGCCAAATTCAGCATATCCAAGAGCACCTAGAAAAGAGCTTCCCAAACTCCTTTATGGGTAAAGACACATACAGGCAGCCAGAGAGCATCTCTTCAGTCTGCATCTGCTTTTCTGACCAGACCACCACCAACTCTTCCAGGCCCCCAATTCAAAGCAAACTTGTTGGTTACTCCAATATCTATGCATAATGGCACACATTGTGTTTGGCGAGTCTGCAAATACAAGTCTGATCAATACGAATCTTAGTCTATGGCTTCACTGCTATTTTCAAACTGCCTCAGACAGCATTTCTCCATTAATGCCCTTCCTCACTCACACACCTGCTCACTTCTGTGTCATTCCCTCTGTTATATCAGTAAAAAAGTTGCATAAATCAGATTAGGGAACTGCTCCAGGGGAAAACTCACACAGGACAAGAGAAAAAAGCCTTTTCGTTTATGCAGAAATTATGAAGAAGAATTCTTGTGGTATAATATTGTTCAAAGTCCCCAAAAGTTCATGAAAGAAACCTTATCTTCTGATAATAAGGTGGCCTCAAATTTTTCCTTAAAGTTAACAAATTAAACAGGGGCAACTGTAAGAGCAGACAGAGTAGTCAAGCTATGCATTAGTAAAAACAAAGAACACAGCCTCTCTCTAGAGCGATCAGGTTACAAGAGAAGCATTTTCATACTGACTCTTCTATTCATCACGAAACAAGTAATACAGCTTAACACTTCCATATTTTGGCCTTAGCGAAGCCAAGAAAAAGGAGAAAGTGAGTGAAGAGGTGGAAGATGGATATGAAGAACAGTCACATAGGATGTGAGCAAAAGGATTTTAATTCATCCTTGTGCATGGTGCTGCAGCAGTTCACCTGTAGAAGATTTTGGCAAGAATGAGGAGGCAGCTAGGCAGCCTGGACCATTCCAGGTGGGCAACAAGGAGGCAGCTGCTGGAAGGTCGGAAGGGAAATAGCCATTAGTACAGGCATGAAGTCTGCTACCAGGGAAGAGCTTGGTAGTCCTCGTGACTACAGTGAAAGGACAGAAGGATAAGTTATTTGCTGAAGGTAAGAATTTAGAGGGAACAGTGAAAACATACCTAGGAAGAAAAAAGTCTCCATACAACATGCAGTGTCTTCAGAAACTCTTCGTGTTCCAGCTAGCTGGCATTCTTAAGCCAAAATAACTTGGGTGATGCTCTAATAATGCTGCACTGACTACTGCTACTAGT